CCAAGCTTGGTCTAGTGGGTAAGTTTGTATCTCATATTGGTTGTGAGATCAAACCCCATTAGAGACACTTTGAGGGTAGGGATTCTTTTAAAGCTTAGGAGTTTTGATGACGATGAATAAAAACAAACTTCAACTGATGCGATTTCTCTAAGTGCTTAATTAGAACAGGTGAAGTTGACTTGGGAAGTGGAAGTGTAACCTGACTATGAAGACTCAAGGAGATCCTAAGGAAAGTTAAAGAAAATAGAAGAAGAGTTCCACAATGGAACTAATTGAGTTCCCTAACAGGAACACTATGAAAGGTTCCCTAACAGGAGCTTGACAACAAGCTAAGAAGACTGGCTTGGTTTGCGTTGAAGACAGTAAGAACTTGGCCTGTGGAGTTCCAACAAGGAGCTGGAGAAAGAAGGACAGCAAGAACTTAGTCCTAGACTGCGTGACGCCCAAGTATCCTAACAATACAACGTATGATGAGATAATCCAGTTTTAGAATATAAGTCTTTTTGTTAAGTTTATTTTTCTGAGGATTATTGTAAATATGTTAGGAAAGTTTATGCATGGAATTTATTAGAAACCTGACAAAGTTTGACAAGCTTGCTTTATAGATGGAAAGTTTATAAAAGATAAGTTTTTAATTTATGAAAAGATTTTTAAAAGATTTTATTTTATGAAATCCGGTTTTACGAAATGATATTCTTTTCATAAATTATATCTTTGATAAGTTTTCTAAAAAGATTTACTTAAAAGTGTAATTATGAAAACAACAGTTTATGATTTCTATCTTTTGAAAATCCTACTTTACATACGAGTACAACTTGTATATAATGCAAAATACATAATTTGCACAACTTTGTGAGTTTCTGCGTGAAGAATCTGAAGAGAGCTCAAAGTGTAAGTTTGTCCAGTCTAAACTTTGTCATATTAGTTTCGGATTTCATGTGTAGCTGTTTTGGTATTGGGTGAAGTGTTAAGTGTCTTGCACACAGATTGTAGGCTTCAAGATTGAAGCTGAGTGTGAAAGCATTCAGGGAGTGCTGAGTGAATCTAAGTCAGGGATTTAGGTTGGGTAGAATAGGATTTTACTGTGTAGCAAATTCAGACTGGAACTTGTGAGGAAAGGACTGATTATAATAGGTTGTAACTAGGAGAGTTTGCTCTATTATAGTGGATTGGTTTGGTTTGAAATCCCTTGGAGGGTCGAGGTTTTACTTCCAATTGGGTCTTGAAAGGTTTCTTCGTAAAATCCTGTGTGCTTTGCTAAGTTCCTTTTATATTCTGTTTTAATTCCGCAGAGGTAATCACTAGGAACTCACATACAATTCACCCCCTCCCCTCTTATAGTGTTCGTCTCAACTAACAGATTCCCTTACCCTTCCCTCTCATTCCTAAAGTGTCTAGCCCGCTATTTCGATATATATATATATATATATAATGTTATACGTACTCCCTGCATCCCTAGCTACTCCATTGAATATCCATCTTCCTTATTGTTGTAGAGAAACGTGCCTCACATCATCCATTTTTGACAACAAACTTTTTATTATGCGAAGTACTCCGTATTATTTTTGTGTTAATCAAGAATGTAGGAAAATTTGCAAATTGTAGCCATTTAAAGTATGTATTTTGCAAATTGCAGCTATTTAAAAAAAAAATTTGCAAATTGCAGCCCAATAGTACAACTAACTTTTTTATTGCCACCAAATCCTATTTTTCTTTGATTTGCGTGCCGAAAAATTCCCCGTTAAGTTTTAGGGGGTCTTACCGTCTTATTATTTTTTATGGGGCCAAATTGAGCTCGGAATTGGCAAAAAATTAACGTAAGTGTCTCGTTTTGCGTATTAAAAAAATAACTTAAACGCAAAACGACCCCTAAAACTTGCAAGTATTAGGGTAATTATGTTAGCAAACTAATCTAACCCAAATTATATTTAACGTTTTAATAACAACAAGTTACTGTTTTAATTAGTATAAAAGTTGGGTGGCATAAATTGGAAAAACGATAAATTAAAGGTATCACTTGGAAAAGCCAATAGTTCAACGTTACCAATTTGGAAAATCCCTATTTTGTTTAGGATAATGCTATATGTAGGCCTTCGGGTTAAGAATAAGCATATTATCTTTTCTAATTTAGTATTAATTTAGGAATGTGTGACAAAATCACGCACAAATTAGTGTAATTAATGTGATTTTTTTTTTTATTCCCATTTTTAGCTTCTTATATATATATCCCTAAGAGCTATGTATAACATTTTTTTTTATCAGTCTCTTCAGCTCTAAGAAACACTGTTAAATCCATTGGTAATATCATTTAATGTGTGCATTATAGCCCAGTAGATTGTTGATAGCCAAGAAAATTTAACTTGTATTTCAAACTAAGTTCAAATCATTCTAACAAAACAAGTTTATTTCAACAAAAACAAAATAAGCTTAGTTATATTGATAAATAGTTTTGACAAACGATCCAAGATTAGATCGGACCAAAATGAATTGGATCGAAAACCAATAATGTTAGATTCAAGACTCGGAGACTGAACCCGAACCAAAAACTAGAAGTTTAAGATTCAAGACTCAAAGAAAGGATTTATTTTCTTTGATCGGACCTGAATCAAATCGAACCAATTTTAGAATTATATATTTTGATAATATTAAGAGAAAAAGAAAAGGCAAAATATAAGATACTTGTATATGATTGTTATGCTTATTTTGAATGTCCAATATAAAACTAATTATAATATTACTAGGGCAACTAACTCGTGCGATGCGCGCGTCATAGCAAGCCATGTCCGGGAAATTCCTTCAGTTTGACGTTATGTTATAACTTTAATCGTTAGTTGCGTTAATAAGTGAAAATAGGTAAACAAATAAATTTAGGGGTATGAATATCCACACACTATTTTTAAGAGTTTTTTATTTATTTATTTAATGAGAGCAAATATGTAAATAAACATTATAGGGACATAACTGTTTCAACAGTATTTATAAAAGTGTGGCCATACTTTTAAAAGAGGTAAATACATAATTAAACATTTTGAGAGACATAATTATCTCAACACTATTCATAAGAGCTTACTCATACTTTTAAGGGGTTGTTTGGTTGGATTATTTGGAATGAGTTGGAATGGAGTTAGAATCCATTCCATCTGGTTTTTTATTTGGTTAAGGCTTTTAGTAATGGAATCTCATACCCAAGGGGTTCTAACTCCCCCCAATACCCACGGAATCCCATACCCACCCTTCCCCCTAATATTCACATTCCATTCTATTAACGAAGAATAGAATCCATTCCAACAATCAATCCAAACAACTTTGGATTAGTATGAGTTTTAGAATCTATACCTCTTTAGTATGAGATTTCATACCAATCCATTCTAACTTGATGAACCAAACACCCCCTAAAAATATAGGGATACTCCATAGTATTTTTAGCATATTGAAGGTAATAATTAAATATAATAGCGATTTTAAATCATTGTCTTAAACAAAAAATTGGTCCACTATTCCAAAATCAGTTTTTAATGGGTTTTGCATTTGATTAGAACGAAGACCAGATTTCAAATTTTCTCGACTCGTAGAGCCGGTCAGTTCTCTTTTGTTCGATCTGGGTCGGTTTTGAGCACCCCTATTTGACACACTCACAAAAGTTGTATTACACATGTTCAGATAATATAAGTTTAGACAAAATAAATTGAATAAAATAAATTTTATTGTAAGATGATCAATTTGAAGGTAATTTTAACAATTTTTATGGTAACTTTAAGCCCTTAAGGGTAAATTTAATTTATAATGAGTTTGATTGTATTGTAATGTGTAATTTCAAATGGATACATGTCATTAAAGGCTAAAGTGATTAATCCAATGCACTATATGTATTTTTTAAGGGTAATATTTATGTTAAAAAATGGTAACTTTTATACTCCCTCGGTCTCATAATACAATGCCTCTTTGGGTTTTTACGCAGGACTTAAGAAAGTTGTAAATAATGATTAGAAGTACATATGTGCATGTGGGATTAGAAGAGAGATAGAGAGAATATTGAATAATTTGTGAAAAGTTTGAATATGATCAACAAAATTTGGAGTGAAGCATTCCATGTTTGGCTAAAAAGTAAATTATATATATATATATATATAGGAAGAGGATCATGTAAAAACAAGATTAAATTTGAAAACTGAAAAACGGACAATCTCCACCGTCCATAAAAATCAACGGCTGAGATTAGAGGAAAAAAAGTTATGCCGACATTCTATCTCCTTCTCAGGTCCTTTTTCTCTCTCCTTTCTCTAAGTTCTTCTCATTCTCTTTCTAAAGAATTCACAATTTCTGGCTGAATTTCCACCAGGTTCAAGCTCCGATCTCCGATCTTCCTCTGGTTTGATATCATCTTCATCTTCTTACTCTATCAATTTTAAAATCAAAATTTTGTTGTTTCAATTCTAATCTTGATTAGAATATAAATTTGGAAATTCTTGGTCGAGTGAGCAGACGAGTCAAAATTCGAAGAATGCGAATGTTTATCGAGGCTTAATGAGTGATAATTCTCACATATTTCTCTCGCACTCGTTCTCGAAACGATCCTTGATGAGAGAAAATGTTGTTAAAGCCTTTGTTTGAGTCGGTCTATCAATTGCCTGCTAAGTGTTTGTTAAAATGTCAATGAGAATTTCTTGCAATTTTCGCCTAAATTTTGCTAACATTGTTCATAAACTTGCAAAAATCAAGTCAAATCGAACAATTGAAGCTGACATTTCATTAATGAAACCCTAGATTTTCACAAATCGAAGTAAAATCAGAATGAAACGAAGCGACGAACAATCGAATCTTACTAAACACTAGTAGAAAAAATGAATTAAGCAACGCACTTTTCGCACCGGTTCTTGAAAACCGGTGGGAAAAGAAATGGGTGGGATTGGGGAAAATACTTTTCCCACCGTGGGAAATCATATTTTTCGCACCGGTTCAAACCGGTGCGAATTACGCAATATTAAAAAAAAGGGGTGGAAAGGATTTTCCACCGGTTTCAAACCAAACCGGTGGCAACTGCTATTTTCGAACCGGTTCAAACCGGTGCCAAATGGGAAAAATAAAAAGCGGGCTGCTACTTTTCTTCTTCTTTCTTTCATTCTTTCCATGTTCTCTGTTTTATTAAGTTCCGTCTCGTTTTCGACTTCGTTCTCTTTCCAGCATCCCGAATTTTCACCTTCTCCATTGAAGTTGTTGCCCTAGCTTTCTCACTCCATTGAAGCAGCACCTCCGCCTCCATTGAATTGTGCTCTATGTTCTCCATTGAAGCCGAATATGTGCTTTCTCACCTCCATTGAAGCAACTTCGAGGTAATGTGGTCTTCTTAATCTATCGAAATCCTTCGCAATCTAAGGTTTTTCGTTGATTTGTTTATCAATTTCATAATTCTAGGGTTAGTCTGCTTCTTCACAATCCATTTTTCGTTTTTTTAATTTTTTTTTATTTTTATTATTAAATAGTAGTAACAACCCTACATCTAAACCTTGAAGATAGTAAAGGGTTAGCCGCCATTATTGATTGGTTTGAAGCTTTACAAAAATGGATATTGGGTTTTGATTTTCAGTGTTCTGTTCTTCTTTCATTTTAAATTAATGTATTGTTTGGTTGATTCAATCTTTGTTATTTGTGTTTATCAATTGCATTTTTTATATGATTAATTGTTTACATGTAATTGTTAATTATAATGATAGCAGGGATGCAGATTCTTTGAAATCCGTGGGTCGAGTTAATCAACTAAAAGATTTGGGTAAGATGATTATCAATTGCAGTTTGCTATATAACTAGTCTTGGATTATATAATGTATTGTTCCTTGGTAATTTATAATCGACTTCGACATTGTATTGTATCAGTGTTGTTACCTGACAACCTATGTTAAGCAATGCATCAGTATAAAATTGAGTTATTACCTGAAATGAATCAGTAGAGGGCAGGGGTTTAAAAGATATGGGTTTAGTCAATGGTGTTTCTTAATTGCTTACCGAGATTATGTTTTTATATAATTTCAGCACTGTTGCTAGATGCTGCAAGCAAAGTTATACCTTTCGTTGTCTGCGTCTCTGGGCGTGTTGGTTCTGAAACGCCAATAAAATGTGAATGTTGTTGGGTTGTGATTGTTGCTTGTACATGCTAATTATATGGTGAGTGGTGCTAGAATCATTAATGCAGAATTTCAATGCATTCATGATAGATTAGACATAGTTGTTTTCAGATTTTAGAACAAAGAAAAAGGAAGATGAACCAAGTTAGTATCAATATTACTCTCTCCGTTGAATTTAGCAATCTAGGGTTTGTCGTTAATCTAGCAATTGTGTTATAAATTAGTGGAATTACATTATGTACTCGGTTTTTAAAAAAATTAGTGATTAACAATTGTTAGTTTGATTAATTTTTTATAGATTCATATGTGAATTGAAGTACAAGTTTAGCTGCTTGAAGACTACATATTGTAGATATAGTGGGAAATTAGAAAGAATATATCCATTGTACTTGCTATAGTGGTATGAATTAAAAACTTTTCTAATCTATATTTCTTTTTCTTGATTCATTTAATGAAAGTCTTTTCATGCTATTACAACTTATTGTTTGATTCATGTACTTTGTTCCTATGCTAGTGCGCACAACAAGATAACGGAGTTGATTGTGGACTATACGTGATGAGATTCATGTTCGACATACTGAGTCATTGTACAGACACACTACAACTTGATGAGGTATGTAGTATGCCATTGACTTAGTTAATTTGCTCTTTTCGTGTGATTTGACAAGAAATATAGAAAATAGGCAACCTAGTAGCCATAAAGGCCTTATTTTTGCCATTTTGGATGAAATTGCGTCCTAAAACACTTGAATTGGTCTTTTAATGTGATTTCAAGACTTAGTCGCCTCTAAATAGGTAATAATGACATGTAAAGAGCAAGAATGAGTTGATTTGATAAGAAATGTAGAAAATAGGCAACCTAGTAGCCATATAGGCCTTATTTTGGCCATTTTGGATGAAACTGCGTCCTAAAACACTTGAATTGCTCTTTTAATGTGATTTCAAGACTTAGCCGCCTCTAACTAGGTAATAATGACATGTTAAGAGCAAGAATGAGTTGATTTGATAAGAAATATAGAAATAGGCAACCTAGTAGCCATATAGGCCTTACTTGGCCATTTTGGATGTAATTGCGTCCTAAAACACTTGAATTGGTCTTTTAATGTGATTTCAAGGCTTAGCCGCCTCTAACTAGGTAATAATGACATGTTAAGAGCAAGAATGAGTTGATTTGATAAGAAATGTAGAAAATAGGCAACCTAGTAGCCATATAGGCCTTATTTTGGCCATTTTGGATGAAATTGAGTCCTAAAACACTTGAATTGCTCTTTAAATGTGATTTCAAGGCTTAGCCGCCTCTAATTAGGTAATAATGACATGTTAAGAGCAAGAATGAGTTGATTTGATAAGAAATGTAGAAAATAGGCAACCTAGTAGCCATATAGGCCTTACTTGGCCATTTTGGATGAAATTGCGTCCTAAAACACTTGAATTGCTCTTTTAATGTGATTTCAAGGCTTAGCCGCCTATAACTAGGTAATAATGACATGTTAAGAGCAAGAATGAGTTGATTTGATAAGAAATGTAGAAAATAGGCAACCTAGTAGCCATATAGGCCTTATTTTGGCCATTTTGGATGAAATTGAGTCCTAAAACACTTGAATTGCTCTTTTAATGTGATTTCAAAGCTTAGCCGCCTCTAACTAGGTAATAATGACATGTTAAGAGCAAGAATGAGTTGATTTGATAAGAAATGTAGAAAATAGGCAACCTAGTAGCGCTATATAGGCCTTATTTTGGCCATTTTGGATGAAATTGCGTCCTAAAACACTTGAATTGCTCTATTAATGTGATTTCAAGGCTTAGCCGCCTCTAATAGGGTTATTGCGTCCTAAAACACTTGAATTCTAACATAATTTTTGTTTATCCAAGTTTTGCAAGGTACAGAAAGGAGGTACATTGACGAGCACGGAACTTAATGAAGTTCGAGACATGTTGGCATCTTTCATCACATTTAATTTAATTTGAACTTGTTAATTACATTAATAATTAGATTTGTTTGTAAATATGACACTTTTTTTTTTATAAGAAGCTGTAAATATATAAGAAGTTGTAAATATATATTTGGGATTATTAATTAATATCTATGTATAGTTGTCATTTTTTTAATTTAGAAATTATTATATTATTATTGTTATTAGAATTATTAACAATAATAATAATAATTATTATTATTATTGTTATTGTTATTATAATATATATTGATGGTAGAATTAATGCAGGATGTGCAGATTTTTATTATTATTAATATAATTAATTATAGCAAAAAAATTTTTTTTTTTTAAAAAAGGGGTTTTTCCCACCGGTTTTCACATAGAACCGGTGGCAAAAGTGTTTAATATTCAAGGCGCGCAAGCACTTTTGCCACCGGTTCTATGTAAAAACCGGTGGGAAAAGTTGAAGATTTGCCACCGGTTCACCCTTAAAACCGGTGGGAAAAGTCATTTTCCCCACCGGTTTTGAATCGGTGGGAAAACTATGGGGTTTTGGCACCCCCCAAATCTAGACCGGTGCGAAATGGGGGGTTTGAACCGGTGGGGAATGCGTATTTTCGCCTAGTGAAACTTGGTTACGAAATGGAAAGGTAAGTACTTCATTTTTGATTTTTGAGTTCTTCGTTTCTGATTTTTGTTTGATTTATTAATTTTGCTCGTTTTTTTTTTTGGAAATTATTGATTTGATTTGTATTTTTGAGTTTCGACTTTAGTTTCATTATCGACTGGGATAATTTGTTTACAGAAAATGAATTTCATTTCTTATTACCGTTTTGTTAAATCTTAGTTCGTCGATCGATTAGCTGTTTCATGACTATCGAAGTGATTTAGGTACTAAGTTTTTCGTGTCATGTAATTGATACATTTTGATAAACATGAATTTTGGAGTAATGTTACTCTTGAGTTTTTTCACCTATTATCGTTAATCTCCTTTGTTTTATTATCTTTCTGCTTCATTGATTTCAATATAATATTGTTTGCATTTCAATAATATGATTGTTGGATCTATGTTGTCAGAGTATAAATGCGAAAGTAATTGAAGATTAAGAACGAATTTTAATTTTGGATGCTTATTGTATAAAGATAAATTCATAGCTGTAGGAATTGCTGGAATGATTAGTATAGTAATTGTTGCAAAGACAATGAAGAAACTGTGTTACTTGTTTGGAACATTTTGATACCTTGATCTGAAACTGTTTACTAATTATCATGGTTTATTTGATGATGGATGAAATGAAATGAGTTGTGGCAACATTTTGCGATTTCCTGTTACTTGTGGCAACATAAGTTTGCTACTGGAATTGAGCATTTATTATTGAATTGGCTCTGTTGTGAAGATTGTGTAACAATGTGAGATGGTTGTTGTTTCAGACAATTGAGAAATAGAGATGCCACGATGAGATCAAGAGAAAGGAAGAAGATGTATGTCAAGGATTTGGAGATAAAGAGTCGGTATATGGAAGCGAAGTGTAGGAGATTGGGGAGTGATCTTTGTGTAGACGTGGTCAAAATTAATAGTTACCTTATTTTTGTAAATAGTGACTTCTATATAAATGTGGTCAATGTTGTCAAAATTAATATATTACCTTATTTTTATATATAGTGACCTTCGATATTTCTATATATAGTGGCCTCTGTATAAATGTAGTCAAAATTGATATAGTTACCATGTTTTTGTATATAGTGACCTTTATGTAAATGTGGTCAAAATTGATATAATTACCCTGTTTTTGTATATAGTGACCTCTAAGTAAATATTGTAAAAATTGATATAGTTACCTTATTTCTATATATAGTGACCTCGGTGTAAATGTCATCAAAATTAATATAACTTGATATAATTACCTTATATTTGTATATAGTGACCTCTGGGTTGTTTCACACCATCAGATTATCTAGTGAACATTCAATGGCTAAGATTGCTTGTTTTTAGTTTTCACCATAAGCTCTGTTTTCAGGGTAACCTCCCCGTATATATATATATATATATATATATTTGTGAATAGAAATTAAGTATATTCTTATTATTTGGGAAATTGTTCATTTTTTGAGCTTTGGGTCTTAGATGCCAGGCTTTGTGTCTTAAAAATTTGGGCTTTGGGGCTCGATTTTGGCTTTTGGTATCAAATTTTGAGCTAAAAGATGTGGGTCCAAAATGATTCAGTTGATGGCGTTAAGGCCATAAAGCCCATAATGATTGAATACTTTTACTCAGATAATCTACCTCCTCTTTCCAAATTTTTTTTCCCCTTGGTTAATTATAAAAAAGTAAAATAAATGAGTATAAAGCATAGCTTTAATTTACACAAATTGGTGTGAGAATTTGTTCAAAAAAAAAAAAAAAAAAAAAAAACCTCTTTTAAGGTACAACAAAGACAATAACATTATAACATACATTTTATTTAGCGAGTTATAATTGACGTTGGTATTGATCAGATTCAATCTTGGAAGAATCACCTACATAATTAGCAACTAAGCTAAATGACATCAACTAGTGTGTCAAATTCCTACTCGTTAGGATACCCGTGTGGCCACTTAAGGTACACAACTGTTTTTGAGGTCACTACTAGATTCTTTTTCGGTGGATAATTATTGAGCAAGGTGCTCTTTCCAACCTTATTGCATGCCCTTGGAATGAATGTCCAGTCCCCACTTACATGCAACCCTTCCTCATACGTTTTCTAGGTTGTGATCACTTGTTATGAGTCTTGTCCAATATTATTATCATAATAATTACTCTTATAATGCCAACCAACTAGCTATTGTCCTGTTATTTTCCTTTTTTCTGACGTGATACAAGAGCTGAATCAAGGTGAGCTCTTCTCAAGAATTATTAAATTTTTACATCTGCAATTCTAGGTATTGAAGGGTCGTCGTCTTGATCTTTTGAGATATCTACACATTTCATGATCACCTGAGTTATCTTTGGTACTACAAGTATTACCAATTGTATAAAGCTATTTATTCATTCTCTAGGATCCGGAATCGGATTTGAAAGCAACTCGAGTAGAAAGATGGATTAAATTCCTCAAAGAAACAAGATTTTAGTGAGATGGAGACAGGAGTTCACACAAGTACACAACAAGCTAGGTGTAAAGCAGTTCTTCATATTCTTTTTATTATACTCTTTTGACAAAAATCATGAAGATGCATCCATACAGCCATACTCAATGTAGTAAAAGGTTTACTTATACTTTAGAGGTCTTTGAAAATTGCTAGAATTGCTTTTAAGCATGCTTGACTATCACAGCTAAGTTGTACATAAAAGTTGCTAATGTATCGAAGTGCAGTCACGTAATCACCAAAAGTTAAATTCTTTTCTTAGGGGTCATCAACAAAGTTTCATGAATTAGTGATACCAAAGATTGCCACTTGCTTTGAGTACCTCGTTAAGTACTAATTTTATCTAAAGGCATAGGATCCGAGCCTTAAGAATGCAATTACATTAGAAAAGAGACTATATCTCTACTTAAGAATCAACACACCTCAAATCCACATTAGTCGAAGTCTAAAAAACTCCATACCAAAATAGAAGAATAATTTTTCTAAAGAAA